TGTTGTATTAATAGCAGTTTAAACAGAAATATATATACACTCAGCATTAATACCAAAATAATGTTGCTTATCAAGGAAGTGCTGTGATGTTGATACACATTTCCTTATAAGCAGACCAGGAAAGATGTCTTTCAGATGCAGCTCTAACATAACTCTCGACGTATGCATCTTTTGCTATCACAAAGGGGAACAAGAATTCTCCTGTTTCAAGAAATGGTATCTACTTTAAGCATTCTCTTCTCTATCACACCCTCTGATCTAAAAGCAACAGCTAATATGAGCAACAATTACAGTGGACACTGCAAGAAATGAACTACTTGATAGGGGCAAGAAGAGCACTAAAAGAAGACCATAAAATCAGAATTCTGAATACACACACATAAATATGGATTTTTTATTCCTTGGTTTCACAGCCATGTCTTGATCCATGCAGAAGGCAGCTCTGACAAAATTCTGATGTAAAGCCATTATCTCTTGGTTTCTAAGAAAAAAGCTTTCTGCCAGCCGCTTTTGTATGAAAATTCATACAGGTTACCAAAATCATTCATCAGTTTATGAAAACTCCACTCGAACTCTGACTTCAAAGACATTCACAGGCTGTACGAATATGGATACCAAACAACTGGAAATCTGATCTTGAGCACCTCTAACACAAGTGTTGTCAGAAATGAACCTACTGACAACAAAAGAACTAAGATGATTCACATCTCCTCTGAGGAGGAGAAATGAGATCTTTTTACACTTTGAGAAAGGTTTTCACATGAGATTTCCTGTGTGAGCCACTTTATAGCTGCTTATAATCTCATTAAAACAAATTAAATTTAAAAAAAAACACTCAAAGTGAAGAAAAGCATGGTAACCAACTCCCATATGACTCTCCCTTGTATCTAGCTGAAACTGTACAACCGTTTTTGAGGATAATGTTGCTGAATGACACGTGTCATTCCTATTTAGAAAATGTCTTACAGCTGTTTTGCTCAAAGGCTCCAAAATTCCCAATGCCTTGTAGGGGGAACTTCAAATTTGTCCAAGAAGTCAACAACCACAGACACACCCACCTCCCTCTGTGTGCAATTTACACTATTTCACTAAGCTCAACTCAAAAATGTTTCATTCGACACAGGACTGTAGAGCTGTTGATGTTCACCAGCTGAACTCCCCATGCTTCCCCTTGCAGAGAGCATCCTCCAACACGTACCGTGGGGCTAAGCATAAGTTTTGACACAGGAACATCTCTGACTGGAGGTCTGCATGGCCCCACAAGCAGGAAATGTGCTCAGAGTGCTCCCTCTATTGATGCTTGGCTAAGAGAGGGAGGAAGAGGAAGTGGCATACGTGCAATGTGGAAAGAAGTAGAGGGGAAAGACATATCAAGGCAGGGGCTTTCAGGAGGAAAGAGGAGCAGACTTGAAGGCAGGGGACAAAGGAGAATTAGGACAGGAGAAAAAAAGAATTAGGAAAAAGTTAAAACTGGAAAAGGTGTTGCAATTAGTACAGAAAAATCAGTGCTGTTTTTTTTTTTTTTCTTCTATTTCCTCTTGATGCAACTTTCCCCTGTTGCATACAAGGCAGTTGTGGTATTTCACAGCATCTTTCTCAACCGCTGTGTCAATCCACGCAGACAACGGTTGTCTGTGAGTACTAATAACGTAACTGGCTCAAAGGACACATAGCTCTAACTATGGGGACTACAGACAAGCAAAAGCAGCCTATCCTCTCTTTCCTGCTGTCAATGGGAAAGTTTTAAAAATACCTTGAAAAACTATTAAGAGAAGCAAATCTACAAAAAAAATATATCCATCAAACAAGCTACTAAGCGAACCATTCAGAAGTTTGGTGATGAAACTGTCTATCTATCAGCAGGAATTTACACAAGCACTATGGTGAAGGCTTCAGCTTACTCCCATAGCTCTACTGTTACATAGGACCCCTAACTAACACATGAAAATGACTGAAAGATGAGCGGATCCAGCATAGCCAAAACAAGGATCCCTGTTCGTTTACTGCAGAGGTTGGAAGGTGTGCCTCAACCGACACAAGGCGCTGCAAAACTTCAGCTGTTTTGGGATGATGCCAGCTAAACACTGCTTTCTGTAATCATGCTGTACCTTTACATGCTCTGAATTAAATAAGCAGCTCTTCCCCATGCAGCTACCGTACCTTGTTCCTACTTTGTCTGCTGGACCTTCAACTTCACTCAGCAGGGCAATGTGATATATGAGCACACAAAGGTCTCGCAAATGAGACTGAGGAGTTCCATAACCACACACAAGCCTTAAAAATAAACACCAAACCCCCACACACATACCTATGAAACACCACCTTTCCAATTCTCAAATATTTACAGAAGGGGATTAAGCATATTGCGCTGTCTCTGCCCTGCCCCTTTCTTATGTTTCAGAAACTACCAACTTCAATTCACTCAGCTCTCCTGACAAGTCCATTCCAAATGTAAAATAATTTACTTGAAGATATTGCAACTCTAATGTCACAGAACAGCTCATAAAACATCAATAAAAGGGTATTTCTTCTAAGGTTTTGAGTACATGCTGTAAAAAAGCTTGAGGTTACACACTGAACTTTAATATACACACATGTAATAGACACGTATATACGGAGCCTTGGAATCATCAAATCACAGTACCATAGTACGCCCCAAGTTGGAAGGGACCCACAAGCATCATGGAGGATCACTGAACTCTGGCACTGAGGGCCGTGCCCACCGCCCTGTGGTGCAGCCCCTTTCCCTGACCCCCAGCTGCCCTCCCCTGACGCAGCTCCACGCCGTTCCCTGTCGCTGTCACACAGAGCAGAGCTCAGCGCTGCTCCTCCGCTCCCTGGGAGGAGCTGCAGCCGCCGTCAGGCCTCCCCTCAGCTCCTCTGCTCTGGGCCGAGCAAACATAGGGGCCTCAGCCACTCCTCTCATACACTTTGTCCTCCAGACACTTCAATACATTCGTAACCCTCCTTCAGACACTCCCTACTAGGTTTATGTCCTTCTTACATAGCAGCACCCAAACCCACACTCAGTGCTGGAGGTGAGTCTACACAGCACAGAGCAGAGCAGGACAACCCCTCCCAAGCGATAGTGCTGGGCCTGGTGCATCCCTGGGTCCTGTTGGCCCCATTGGCTGCCAGGGCACACTGCTGGTTCAGATTCAACTTGTCACCAGCCAGAACCCCCAGATCCCTTTCCGCAGTGCTGCTCCCCAGCCTCTCGTCTTGCAGTCTGTACACAGAGCCAGGGAGTAACAACGCTGTGCAGAGCCAAACACGAAATACAAATGATTAATACGGGAAGCATGAAAGTAATTTAAAAATAAAAGACGAGGAATCTCAACAATGTGCTACCTATGAAGAATTCACCTATTCTTTCATGCATCTAAATGTCTTTGAGAAATGAAACAACGCTAAAAATATTTTTAATAAAACTGTTTCTATTTGGAATCTCCTAGAAAAATTTCACTTTCATATTACTCATATCTTCCTCGCGTGTTTTTTCCATTTGTTTTTTTTTTTTTTAATAGCATAAGAATCGCTTAGACTCTAGAGATGTGAATGACTCTAAAGATATGAACAATGAGAGCGTGCCTTTTCTCTGCTCTCGTTTTGCAAAGCGAGTTCTTGCTGAAGAGGTTGTGGATGCCCCGTCCCTGGAGGTGTTCAAGGCCAGGTTGGACGGGGCCCTGGGCAGCCTGGTCTAGTATGAAATGGGGAGGTTGGTGGCCCTGTCTGCGGTGGGGGGGTTGGAGCTTCATGATCCTTGAGGTCCCTTCCAACCTGGGCCATTCTGTGAATCACAGCGAGTTCGGAAAGTCATTATCAAAATCAGCTTTAAGGATGCCAGATGTATACAATCATGGGAGGTCTTATAGCGTCACAATGCAAAGTTAAGAATGAAAAAAATGCCCTGAGGATAAGAAATAATAATAAAAAATAATTAAAACAAACAAACCACTAACCATCATTTCTTGCACTACACCACACAGATTTTGCTCCATCCCTCAGCGATCAACCCCACACTTGCTTACAGCACTACATCTTAAGAAGTTCCGAGCCGCGTTGCCTAGCAGACACACCAACCCTAACAGAGCCTTCTGCCACCCAATTACAGGCGGCGGCACGGGATGCTGGCCTACGGCCAGCAGCACCGGAGTTCGTTGGGATCAATACAGCGGAATGAGGCACAGATGGCTGAATGCCTCCCAGCCCCAGCTGGAGGACTAACTGAAAGTCCACAGTGAAAAGCTAGCGCTGAATCTCTCAAGGTACAGGTACGGCAGCTACGCATCGCTCCGACAGCGCTCCCTAAGAACAAAGAGAAGATTTTTCCCCGCTACGTTCCCAGTGTCACCGCATGACAACAGGTAAAACTGGGTAAAATGTCTGCCCACCTAATGCGTTGCAGGGAATGGCTTTAGCAGTATCGCTCTCGGGCTGCCGGCAGCATTTCTGGCTCAGCGGGCACCGGGAGCCGCTCTCCGGGGGCACCCCCGGGCAGGAGCCGGTCGGAGGGTGCACCTTGCCAGCAGCCCGGGCTTGCTTTTGTTCCCTCCGATCCATCGCTCTCAGCCGGGCGCCGCTTCGAGCAGCGGGCCGGCCCCGGGAGCCCGGCACCGTCGGCGGGGCCGCCATTCACCCCCCGTCCCCCACCGCCCGCCTCCTTCTCCTCCGCACAGGTAGCGGGCGCTGCCCACCTCGGGCCGGCGCCGTCTCTTCCCGAAGTCCGCGGGAGCCACCTCACGGGCAGCGCCCGCCAGACGGCCCCGCCGCCCGCAGCCGCTCAGCCGACGGAGCCCGCGGTGGGTGTGCCCGGCGGAAGGCTGAGGGCGCTGGACGGCTCGCAGCCTCCTCAGCTCCGAGCGGGATCGCCCACCGCGGCAGCCCCGAGCGCCTCCGGCTGTCACATGAAAGCAATCGGCGGGGAGCCGAGGGAGGGGGAGAAGTTAACAGCCGCGAGGCGGACGCTTCCTCCCCGCCGCCCCTCGGCTCCGACTCACCCATCGATGACGAGCGAGGCTCTGCCGGGGCGCGGGCTGAAAGTTCGGGGCGGCTGTGCCCGAGGCTGCTGACGGGGCTGCTCTCTCCTCCTGCGGCCGCCGCTCTCGGTCAGCGGCCGGGCTGCACGCCGCGTCCTGCGGGAGGCACCTCGCCTCGCCTCGGCATACGTGTGCGCGTGGATGCAGAAAGGAAAAAATAAAAAGAGGCGAGGGCTCAGCCTTCAGCTCCCCCCAGCAGTCCCCGCTGCCGGGCGGAGCGCGGCCGAGCCCGGGCACCGGGAGACGGCTGCCGCCGAGCCGCGCCGATGGGCGTCTTCCCCGCGGGCCGGGGCGCGGAGCAGCGCTTCCCAACGCCGGCGCTGCTGCTGCCGCTGCCGCTGTCGGAGCGAGCAGCTCCGCTCGGCTCAGCGTGGCGCTGCGGGAAGTGTCGCGAGACTGCGCCACAGCCGCTGCGCCGCCGGGAGAGCGGGAGGGAGGGCGGGGAGGAAGGAAGCGGAGCGGCGGTCCCCGGCGGGGGCTGGGGAAGGAAAGCGGTGGTGAGAGGCGCCGGCTGCGCCTCGCCCCGTGGGGAAGGGGTCGGCCCGGGCCGGGAGGGAGAGAAAAAAGGTGAAAAGATGAGGTGGAGGCCGGCTTGGTAGCGTTGTTGAGGGGGAAAAAAAGAAAAGAAAAAAGAGCAGAGTCGCTCAGAAGGTGCTGCTGCTGCGAGGTGAAAGGCGCGCCCCGGTAGAACGACCGAAGCTGAGAGCTGTCGGCGCAGCGCGGTGACGCCTGCGGGCAGCAGAGCAGTGGCTGAGGGTGGGAGAACCTCCTCTGCGGGCTGACGGCGGCACAGGGGAAGCGCGAGAGAGAGGAAGCGTAGGTAACGCAGCTTTTAGAGCGCGATCACCCTTAACGGCAGTGAAAAGTTAAGCAAAAGGAGCTGTGCTAACCTCCAGGAGGTGGTTAGGCGTGGAGAGGATGAAAACGGTATGAGAGGCAGAGCAAGGAGAGGTTATTTTGAGTAAGGGCTGCTGGACGTTAGAAAGGCACAAGGGAAGGGAAGGCTTAAGGTACGGAAATCTACTCTCCTTTAATTCGTGACGGTGGTGAACGTCGGGACTTCAGCTTTCATTATCTGAAAGAATGACAGCATTGACTTCAGTTGACAAAGCCAACTAAAGGGAAAGTGTCAGCTTTTACTTGACAGTTTCAGCTAGCTTCGCATACAGTGGTCAAGTTGATCAGAACCAAGTACATCTCATTAAGTAGAAGTAATGGAGCCAGGTTTGAGAGGAATCAAGATATTCATAGAATCACAAAGTTGGAAAGGACCTAAGAGATCATCTAGTCCAACCATCCTCCTATCACCGTTACTACCACTAAGCTACTAAACCGTATCTCATAGCTCCTCATCCAGACATCCTCTTGAACACCACCAGGGACAATGACTCCACCACCTCCCAGCCCATTCCAGCGCCTCCCTTCTCTTTGGGAGAAACAGTTTTAACCTAAATCTATTGTTAGCACATCAAACGTGTATAAAGTTTGGCTTTGCAGTCCTCCAGCTGTGTAGATTAAGGTGGTTGAATAAGTGTAACTGAAAAATTTGGTACATTTGGTAGCTCTATTTCTAGAGGCACTCTTCAGGGCTGCTGGTAAAATTGGTAAGTTACAAAAAGAGAAATTTCCAACTCCATGTTACAATGCATACAATGAAGCAGTCTTCATGGATAATCTCAACCAGAGACCCAAATCCAACTCAGCTTTGAGGAAGCTAACACTGAAAATTGAAGTGTAGGAGTTTGATAGCTTTCATATCAAGTCAAGCAGTAACACAGTGAAGCATCCTGTTCTGGAAAGTGGAAAAAAAAATGATAAGCCATCATAGTACTTTCAAGTGCTAGTTTCCCACTATTCCCAAGCCAAGTAACATTGCAACATACATGCATTCTTTAAGTACCTTATCTTAACGAGACCTCACAGCATTTAGAAAAGAGCTGCTATGGAATTACTTAGGGAACACTAGTATTTTAGAAGTGGTATTGCTGAAAGTGTGTAACATCTAAACTGACACGCACTACAGAACACAATCAGACACATGCACTGTTGAAGGCCATCAACTAAAAGCTGAGAAGCATCACTACTGCAGCCCCTACGAATTACAGAAACATTTTTCTCCAAGCGAAAAGAGGAACAGTACCTACCCCAACTTCTCCACACCACTGTACAGTTACCACACATAACGGATTTTCACTTTACTATTTCTTAAAGGCTAGAAACCAGATCAGAAGTTAAATAAATCTACATATAGATTGGTTTATGACAAGTTTAGGTGAACAACGGGAGGTAAGGTTGTTTTATTCTGGAAGAAAACACCTCATTTCTGTTCCCATTTGCTAAGGAATCCTATTAAGAGATAACATGGTTATTCTTACCCAGCACTGAGGCTGTATTACTGAAGTTCTTAGGAGTGCTCACTAGTTTACTACATGTAATATTTGGTGAAGCCTTTGGTGAAGTCAGCCAAGCAAGTGCTTGCCTCCACCCCCTCCCCAAACTTCTGTTTTGCACATTCAGTGTCTGCAGGCAGAGAGCTTCTTTTAACCAAAACTCTATACCTAAAAAGTAGATCAAAGCTTCAAACTTCTCAAGTAACAACAGATGAAACTACAGAAGCACATTATTTATAACATTCCAATGGCTACCCAGATCATGTAAGATACTCTGAAAATGATACTAAATATTAATGAACTACTGAATCAAATCACTGGATGTATTCGTAAGTAGAAATTTTGTTACAACATTTATTGTCAGTAGAAACAAAATTTACATTGATTTTATAGAAACTATATTAAACATACATATAAACATACCTACATCTTAATATGTACTTATGAACATGAGATCTAGGTATGGAATAACATTGTCAGAAGCACCGTTGTGGACTCCAGAGACTACACACAAAATGCTTTTGCATTTAATTCCATCTTCAGTAGTTTAATAGTTTTAAAAGGTTATTTTTTTTCTTCTTTTAAATCCACACTTACGAATGATTCCATTAAAGGTTTCTGATCATACTATTTGTGCATATGTATACACACACACACATACACTCATTAGAAGGCCCTAATGGAGGAGAGAACTACAGTATAAATACAGTGAACTTGAATATATTCCTTAGAAATGGGCATTAGTCCACATTCTCATTCAGTTGCTAAAAAAGGAAAATAACTAGCCCTGCTATTCTTAAAATATTCAATACGGTGGTTTTTTTTTTATTCCATGAAAAGTGAACCAAAAACAACTGCTTCCCCTCTATCTCTTCCTTCAACAACAAAAACACAAGGAGCCAGTCACAAAATAAAAGCCATCTACTACATTATTTACAGAAAATGAAATATTAAAAAGATGTGAGACTTTGACAAAATTTAGAGCAGCGAACAGAGGAAAACCATATTAAAGTGGCAGGCAGCATAAAACTATTAAACCACAGGGCTAAATACCTACTGAGAACGCCCTCTACCAAAACAACATCAAGGCAAAGAAAGGACAAGGAGGGGGCAGGTATCGCAACAATAGTAGTCTCAGATCTCAGCTGAAAAAATACGTTCACCAAGCTTAAAATAGAACACATTTAAACGTTCACTACCATCCTCCCTATCTACAAAGGAGTTAAGTGTTACAAGTAGGCTTACAACAACCCTGAAATGGCTTTTATTTCCTTCCCCTCCCTCCTGTAAAATGAAACTCTGATCTTCAAACCCTGCCGCAGTGGAATGAAGTCTGTCAAGGGCCAGATTTGTAGAGAAACATCCAGTTCTTGCGGATTCATTAGGATGCAAGCCTGAAGCCTTTCTTTTAGAGAACCCTCCTGTAGAGGTGGCTGGTCAGATGCCTGAAGAAAAGCAAGAGGCATATTTCTGAAGTGTATGGGAAAAGATTTCTTCAGTAAAGGAAGTTGAAGAATCTCCCTCTGCTTACAAGTCTTCTGAAAGTGAGAAGGCTGAGAAATCAGATCTCCATAGCTTAATCTTTGCTAAAATCTTTAATCATCTTCTCCAACCAATTTTCACTATCAATTTCCTAGACATGGCAGAGAAAGACCTTCTGAAACACAACAAACAATCATCTTTTGAAAACCCAGAGTTCCATAATGCCCAGAAATGTGATTTTTTTAAAATTTATTTTGCTCTTAAAGGAAGTTCACACAAAGAAAAATCAGCATTTCACCCCAAGGCCCTGTGAGAGAAAGCAGCAGGTAAGCTATTATCACAACTGGCTATCAGCTGAATTTGCTCCCACCTCCTGCAATTGGGTACTTGAGCCGAGACAATCACATTGAGGTCTCAGGACCACCTAAATGCATCAGATAAGGTGATATGAATCATTTAAGTCATTATTAGAGTTAAGGCAGACTTATACATACTTCATGATGTGTTGTTTACTAGCCCCAGAATTTTCTTGACTTGATCACCACATATAAGCTAAGAATTATAAAATGAGGATTTAACCCAATCAATCAATATAGAGATTAAACTGATCAGCAGCATTAACACTAAATTCACAACTTACGACACTTATAAGGAAGACTAATCATGTTCAATGACTGTATTTTGGATAGCCATGAAAAGAAAAAAAAACATTTCACATGTGAACAACTGAGAACGTGACAAGCATTCAGCGGTCATTTCAAGTCAACTAACAGAAAGGCAATTCACATTTATAAAACAAAGCTAACTAGCTCTTAGACAATCATATTCTTGACTTGCCTTTCCAATGCAAATGCAGTGAGCAGCTTCACTAATACAAGGAACATTTTTCCTTTGGAGCAGAGGATTACTCACATAGTTAAAAGTAAGCGGTTACATTAACAACTCTACTCAGTCCATGCTCATATTAGAAATAATGCAATAATCAGAACATTATTTAAGTCTTTGTACAGAGGGCATTTTCTACAATGTAGTCACAATATAGAAAGGCACCAAATTATTCAAGTAAACTGACCTTCTTCTTAACACTCGTTTTCTCAACTTGAGCCCTCTCACAAACCAATCAGTAATTTCAATATATTATTCTCAACTAACCATTCTGTCAGTACAACAGAACTTTCCTGTGCTGAAAGAAAAAATGAGCCAATTACTCGTGTTTGCATACAGACGTAAGTCTCCAGCTAAAGATTCAAAGCACAGTAAGTTGCAGACCAGACAGTGAGGTTCCCTCTAGCACCTAATTCAATCGCTGAATTAAATTTCTGTACAAATCTGATTAGTAAAGCAAAGTTACTGGTAAAGAATGTGATTTCAGCAGATGGAAGCTCCTCACAAAAAAGCTAAAGCAACTGAAACAGGAACTACATTTCATCATATGACATTCATCTCGGGACCAACGTGGGGATGAGGTGAATAAAATAAAAATCAGTAAACATATTAAAAGATACCACATTGGTAATATGTTGCTTACAGTTACAGAAATAATAATCAGATATCATATGGTAATACGTTGCTTACAGTTACAGAAACAACAACCTATATTGAAGAAACTAGACACAAAGTACTAAAACTAGTTGTGCACAAGTAAAATAAAGCACAAAACTGGAGGCATTTGCACTCTTAAACCTGGTTTTCATATAAAAATAAAAAATGAAAGCAGCATTAACTGGCTGAAGTCTGACTACTTCAGCATTATTTCTAGACAACCTTAGCAAAACTGACATGCCACAAGTTTCTTCACATATCCACTTCTCCCATTGGGCTCAACAACAAACTCTCTTCCAGGCTTTAGGAAGAACAAAAAAGGAAGCTCACAGAAACAGTAGTATCCTGCAAAGTAAGACATGATAGCTTCAGTAGTTTGTCTTGTATCATGTATGGTTTCACCTGCGTTTTACAGTGCTTAACGTGTTCAGGAGCAGCGTGGAAAAACTTGTTGGCTTCAGGGTGAACCTGCACCCATCTGCAGTGGTACACACAGCACTTCCCGACACTGGGCTGCTTAACGAACACGGCGACTCCTTATTTGCTTTGGGTTGGCTCAATCTGTTGCTTCAATTTCCACTTGCTGGTAAATCCACACAGGATGATTTTATAGTTGGGTTCATCAGCGACAGCATCACAAGTATTTCCGATCAAACGGAAGCAGCTAACTTCCTGCAGATCAAGAAATTCTTTTCCTTTAACTTCCCATTTTGAATTTGTATGTCAGAAAGTTACTTAAATACTAGTTGAATCACTTAATAATTATTTCAACTGAAAACTGGAGTTTTAGAAACTTATACCATCTGGTGTTGTTGTTGAATCACCATAGCATCAATGAATCTGGCACACTTCCCGCCTACTTATTTTCTATGAACACTAAGCAGTACATCCCATGACTTAAGATTAAGTGACACTATTTTAGCTGCTCTGAGCCATTACCTATGCTTCCAACAAATAACTCCTCTACTGGAAGCACTGTGGAAAAAAACAAACAAACAAACAAAAAAACCCACAACAAAGAAATCATGCAAAGAAAAAAAAAGTCACATCCTGACTTTCCACCAAAAGACAAATATCCTTTTCTCTGAACCTACTCCTACCCACGATCAGAATTCTGATCTGTTATCCATCATAGAGCCTAGCCTGCATTCCCTACAGCTAACACTGTCCCAGAAATTATGGAAAAATGTTTCCTTAAAACAAATAAGGACGTTATCTGAAAACTACTTCTTACACATCTTCAATTTACCTGTAATAAAAAAGTGAAGAAATCTGTAATACATAGACACAACCCTACTATATATATTATATTAAGGCAAAGCTATAAACAGGAAATAAGCACAATATTGTTTATAGCTGCTGAAAAACATGTCGAGCTATTTAAATTCTGCATACAGCATAACAATACGTTCTCCTCTGAAGCACCGTAAGCTTTGGAGAATTACTGGGATTTTGAACAAAGTTACAAGCTATCTGCATTTAAAGCAGTTTCAATTATGAACAGCTTTGTTAAAATACATGCTTATAAAAAACTTACATTTCTTGTTTTGTTGGTTTTTTTTTTTTCCCTTGCAACTAAACACTTCAGGCCCCAATTTCAGAATTCAAGAAGCCACCAAATCATTTATGACAAGATGAAAGAACACATGGCTTCGTCAAGAATGCCATACATAAAAAAAAACCCACAAACCTATGAGACAGTAACTTTGAATACAGACCAACTAACCCCATAACAAACCCAAGCATGCCTTCAGTGCAGTTACAAACTACTGCTACAGAACACTGCATACCTGCCTGCTGCCATTCATGTTCATCAAATACCAAAAATTGTCTCAGCAGTCTTAACACTTCACAAATCTATATACATCTCAGAAACCCAAGAATATTATGAAACTCCAATGAAGTAATACAGAATATTGTTTTATGGAAAGGACTGAACAGAGGTGTAAGATCTATTGCGCAACCTACCAGGTCATTTCTTTCTTGGCTAATCCTGAGCTATGTGCTATTACCAAACAATTCAGGCACTTTTTTTTTTTGTTTGTTTTCCTTTTTTATTACATAAGCAATAAACTTTGAACATATAAACCTCTGGGTATAACAACTCAAGTTCCATCTGTAACATCATGCTTGGAGAAAAAGTAATCAATAAATAAGACTCCCTTCAGTGACTTCTTTACTCGAGACCGGTATGCAAAAGGAACTAAAGGTACATACTACAACATTTCCATTGAATACTGTAGTTTAAAAGCAATTATGAAAACCGTAAAAAAGTTCTGCAGCATTCTCCTACCGAAAAATAAAGTTATTTTTTAATCAAGAAAGTTACAGGGTTAGTTCCTTTATCCCAATTTAGGTCTGGACAAAGTTGTCAAAAAAGTGAACAGATGTTCCCTTTTCTGTGTTTCACGTTTCAACTTCAGGATCAGAGCTTAGTTCAGGTTTCTGTCCCAACATTTAAATTTCCCTACAAAGAGAAAGAAAGCAATCGTTACTGTCAGATTTCTAACAGCAAAAAAAAAAAAAAAATAAGCCCCCAACTTTCTTATAAATACTATATCATTATAGTAACATAAATTCTTTTAGTTAGGGATTCAAAAAGCAATCAATTGTAAAGACTGTGCCTTAAAGGATGCATATGCATAATTATTTCAAAAGAGTGAAGTAAATCAAAGGCGTTCTCACCAGTTTACCAAATCTTGAGGTGTAATTATTACACTGTACAAAATAAGGGATACAATCTACAATCTAAGGAAAAGCTGTTTTTAAAGAATTACCCAACCATCAATCAGCATGTTTTTAAAAAATGGCTGTCATTCTGAAAGGTTTCTTTGACATCAGTGATACTCCATTTCCTCCTCAGCCAAAAATCAATATTCAGATCTTATTTCTCTATTTGAAATCATAATCACCAAGAGCCAGATTTTGTTAAGATCATTCTAATAAGCTCCAGACAAGAACCTTAATATCCAATTACAAAACAGCATTGGAAATTAATGGGGGGGGAGGGAAGCTCACTACAACAAAATCAGGTTATGGCACTTTATGCCCATTTTCCAGATCTATACTTTTTGGAAAAAACCTTTCCACACTTGTTTCCCATTAATTCCAATTCCATTTGCCCTTCTGCTATATTTATTTGAGTCCATACCAATTTAAAAACAACTCACCAGTATATTTTAGCAAGAAGCAACCTCTTTAACATGTTTAGTTTTCTTTGAGTCTTTGCTTATTGGTTTTGTTGCTTATTTTTCCACTTTCTTCATTCTTCTACCAGACTGGTAACTTTGCTTTTTTTAAAACGGCTTTAAGAACCTATTAATGTTTCTGCACTCTAAAAACTCAACTCTAATCCAACCACTAATGCTTATTATGCAAGTGTATTTACTTGTAGGGACACAGACAGAGAATTACAAAACTAACATTCTCAAAGGAACACACAACTGGAAAGGGCTGTGCAGGTCATCTAATTCAATTCTGACGCCATGAGTAACCCTACCCAACTCTAATTACACTTGACCAATTCTAATAAAGGATTGAGAGTGCTTTAACCACTTCCACTCCCAAAAGCTGTAACATTTTATACAGTTCAGAAGTTCTTCTGCACTTCTGTATTATCACTGTCTCACACACACTGCAAATCAAAAGGTGTAAGATAGATGTGCTGGAGTTTTTCAGCCCGAGTTTGTCAAAGCATTTTACTCAGGCACCATACACTGCAGGATGCTTCATTCAGAACAGCACTTTAAGGCACATGATGAACGTAAGATAACATAATGAGGAACAGAAACATAAACTTAATCAAAAAGCGTATCAATACTCTGCATGTCAATTTAGAACTGTAGTCTTAAGACGATCTAACACTTTTACAGAGGTCCACTTTCTCTCATCAATAAGAAAGCAGACCAAGAAGAGAATATTGGAAATCATCACAGAACCTCACAGCACAGCTCAAACAAATATCCATGAAGGAAATAAGTGCAAAATCAAGTGTGCCTCCTTGTGCTTTTACAGGCAATGTTCCAAAGTATCCCATCTGAGCTATTCCATGGGGATATAAAAACCATAGTGGACAATCTGAATATTCACATTTTCATAAAAGCACTTAGTGAAGAAGAAATTAAACCAACTCACCTTTTCTTTCCTCAGAAATCCATCTCTGTATTTATTAGTGGTAAACCCCCTTACACCAACAGAACGTAACCGCTGGTACTTAGCTTGAATATATAAACCCTTCTGTACTAAGCCTGATTTATAATGGGATTGCAAACGGCCATCTGCAAAGTTGCTCTGTAACAGTAGGGAAAGGGAGGAAAAAAGTGCAGAATGAGGGCACCAAAACTCAATAGCTGGCATTTACAGTTGTATATACACACAAAACCAACAGTATTGAACAAGAATATGCAATAGCAAATACTGAGCCTCTTCCCTATTTACAGCTTGCTGTTCCTTAGAACACCAGCTACCTTATCACATTCGCTGTTTAAAACATCTGAAATGGTCATTGTTACAGAAAAACAGGAATTGCTAAAAGGAAAACATCAACAACAAAAAGAAAAAAAAGCACCTTACTTGCTACCAAATTCACTGATACAGGCCTGCAGCAGGCAAATGTGTTGAACCTAAAAAAGTTATGCTAAGTAGAAGTTAGCATGACTGTTTATCATGTATCCTCACACCATAAGACCACAGAATTACTTCCCTTACTCTGTTCTTTTATCACCCCCCAACTGAAATACATTTGTTCCCATGCTAGGTTAGCATACAGTGACAGAGCTTACTGGTGAGGGAATTAGAAATTCACAGAAATAGCAATATAGGAAGACCAACACTGACAGCAGCAGCAGCTAAAAGGATAAAAACCTGTTTATAATTAAGCACTCCAATCTCCAACAGAACAAGCTATGAAGTCTCAGAAAGGTTCACTGTAATTTTGCCTGATTTTCCAATAATGCAGATTAAAGTTTTCAAATGTGACAGTAACAGAAAAAAATTCCTGTAGATGTTCACCCTTTAAAGCTTTTTCACCCCATGCAGAGTAAAAAAAAAAAGTTCTTACATAAAAAGGAAACATTATGTTGATATAAAATAGCTGTCACGCTTTACAAACAGCTTTAAAGTAAGACAGAATTAAACAACAGAAAAAGAGCCTTTCTTGAGCATGACCTAATTGCTCTGGTGAAGTCAGTCTCCTTTTGACAAAGTAAGGATCACTTCAAGAAAAATCACATGCTCTGAGGTTGTGATAAGTTTGGTACCAGTTTCTCCATGGTGTAGCTGAAGAACAGCTAAGGACTGCACAGAACAGAGGTTACTCAATGCAAATACAGTTTCTGTTATTTTAAGAAAATCACTTCAGCCACCTAATATGTAGAGATAACATGAAGCTGGCCCCATCAGTTCCCTAGCGTCACTCTCATGATGCTTGTAGGCAAAGGACATGCTTGGAAAAGGCTACTAAATGCTATCTCACCCCTTTACTGAAAAGCCAGAGTCCAATCACAATATAATTAGGTGCAAGTAAATTCCTTAAGTAGATACACGCCTACCATAGGGGAAGCTGAAGGGCGTTTGCAATGCTATATTAAGCCACTGAACACAGTTAACAACAGAGGTCCTCATTTCTCCCACAGCTGCTGCGGTTCTCTGTTCTGACACAGGAGGCTACCAAGCGGGCCTCAGAGGTCTGCTGCTGCATTTGCAGTGAGCAGCAAAGGACCAGAACAAATAAGAAAGGAAGAAAAGGTGCAAGATACTGAAAGCGAGATTATACGTACACTTCAGTTTCAACACAAGCATCTACACAAGCAGGGAGAACGAGGTACAGAAGTACTATTAGCAGGGCAGAATCAGACGCAGAAACAGTTAACAGATCATATACTTGGTACATAGGTAACTGCAGTCACACACAGTTGAGAGTAAAATGAGATAATGTAATGGTGTGAATGAAGGTGAATGAAAAACAACTACATTTCAGCCTCAGAAAAAAAAAGCTAAAGTGACATCTAATATTACATCAGGACCATTTTATAATCAACGCTACTCATGCTGCCTATAAACCAGCGGCTTTCAAGCTCTGAGAAGTTTGTTAAGCGCTAATATGTTACCACTGCACTGTGTCTGGCTAGGGCAGAGTCAATTTTCTTCACAAGCAGTCTGCACCGGACCATGGTTTCAATTGGTGACTGACACAGCACAGACAACACAGCAGTGTTTCTGCACAGCATTACTACTCTCTCTTCCTTCAGCCTGGCTCCCAACAAGCTGGCCAGGCAAGACACTGGGAAGGGACACAGCCTGGATAGTCAGGACAACTTACCCAAACTGAACAAAGGATTTCCATGCTCATGCTCAGTAAGAATACTGAGGAAAGCCGCTGCCTGGAGGCTGGCTGAGCATCAATCAGTCTGCCTGTGGGATACGGTAAGCAATTGCCTTTGCATCATTCCTTTTTCCTTCATCTTTCCTTTACTTGACTGGTGACACACTAGAACAGGCTGCCCAAGGAGGCTGTGGATGCCCCATCCTTGGAGGTATTCAAGGCCAGGCTGGACGTGGCTCTGGGCAGCCTTGTCTCATGGTTGGCAACCCTGCACCCAGCAGAGGGGTTGAAACTAGATGATTTCCACAGCATCACGGAATGGCACAGGTTGAAAGGGACCTCAAGAATCAAGAGTCTCCAATTCCTCCCTCCACAGGCTGTTCCACCAACCTCCACATTCAACCCAGGCCATTGTTTTCGCTCCCCCTCTTCTCTTCCCTAGTGCTGCTGGAGGTGGGAGAGTGAGCAAGCCATTAATACACAGGACTGTGTAAATTACAGAATGAAGTTTAGTTCAGAAGATAACCATACATACAGTGCCTACTGAAATGAATCACAGTCAACATCTTAAAGTCTTTTCACAGAAAAGATCTTTTAATCTGTGTAAGATTTCTTTGGATCTCTTATGAAACTGCTGCTCTGAAGTATTTTTTTCTGTAGAATGTTAAACTTTTTGCAAGACCATATATGCTAATAATTCCCCTCCTCTTTTTTTTTTTTTTTTTTTAATTAGGTTAGGACTCTCCAATTTTATTAATCAGGAAGAAGAATTCAGTGTATTTTTAATATTCAGCCAAGGAAGGCTCTTGAGTGTCAAATCACCTTCCCGAAGCAGGTTTCAGCAACAGCATAGGCAGGAAAAATCCTTTAAGTTATGCAAGAGGAAATGAAATGTAAGAACACTGATGAAATCAAATCAGCAATGCTGTTTCCATGGTAGTAATAATGTGCTATACACATATAGAAACCACAATACCAGTGAAAATGCTATCTTCTCAACAGATATTAAAGCAGTATGGAACCAATCTCTGGATACAGCAATGTTCAGTTTCATATATAAAGGTAATGGCAGTTTAAGCAGACTTACGTTTGCACAGTCCTCAGCAGAATTCAGTGCTGATGTAAAATAAAGGAAATTGAAGACTGCTTTGAATAATCTACCAACATAACCTCAAAGAGATAGTGGTGAATAACCACTCATCCCTTATAAAAAGGCCACATGGAGGGAACAGGAAAGAATACTGATTAAGAGACTATGACACCTTTCTGTGTTAAGATGGAGTTATGCAGGCTAACATTTTTAACTTGCTAAGCTTCAGCTTGAAAGTTTTTTCTGTTTCATTGGTTCTTTAAACAGCAGAATAGTGAGCCCTTTTTGATAGTATTAGCTTAGCTTTCTGGCAGACTGACTGCCTTTTTTTCCCCCAACAGTTCCCTTATATTCAGTCTGAGGGGGCAGAAGAACCCTTCTACTCTTCAAATTGTTATCCAAAGTGCTAGCTGCTGAGCTAAGCCAACATAGCCTTACTTCAACTTCATTGTCTTTACAACAAGAATGATCAATACCTATTCTGTGCTGTTTTTCTCCTGAGAGTACACTTGTTAAATAGCAAGTACGGGTAACTTTAAAGGATAAAATGAGAAAGTTTTTTTTTTCTTGACATAAATATATCTAGTTGGATGTTTATTTTTATTTCAGCTGTATGGATAGAATACTGAATAACTCAGCTCAATCCACTGCCAGCCCTCTTTCCTCCCATTATGTCAGCAGAAACAATTAGGCCACACTGCTACTACTTTTCACATTTGATACCTTCAAATCTGCATTTCTTTACCAAACTCAAGAGGATCAAAGTCACAATTTATACAACACACTTCTTGATAAAAGCTGGTCTGTACCTTAAAGTGTCTCCTGATGGGACCTGTGTTCTCAAGGCGTCCTCTAACATGTCTATGCGGGAAAGTATCATTTGTTCTTGAAGAATAGTAAGAATTCTAGTTCAAAAACAGATAGCAAGGTTATTAGCTTAACATTATTAAATTACAAAGGAAAACAGTTTCCAGGTTATAGTAACATATATTAAAGTCCTTTCAGCCTTGTGATTTTGACACAAAGACACTGTCTGAAAGCACCAAAAGAGAAGCAAAGGGCCTGGAGTACAGGTTGGCTGTAGTGACAGCAGAGCCCACCAAACCCAAAGATGATACAAACCATCGTGTTGGAATATTGTCCTCTTGGGTTGTTAGACTGCTCTAGCAGTCATCCCTTGAGTCAGGAATAAGAGCAAGATTAGTACTCTGGATACTCCTGGTTAGCATATGGTCACTACTGGAGCATTTACCACAAACACAAGCATCACTACTCTACATACCACCACAGCAACCAGACAAATGCATTGGCCCTCCAAATACTCTGCTTTTAAATTTGTATTATAGAGTAGCATGTCGGAGAACAATTGCTAGCCACAGAAACATACCTGATCTTAAGGACAAGTGGTATCAAAACTGTTGTGTTAGCACACTGAAAGCAGAAGGCAAACAGCCATGGTTGCATAAAACAGAGCACTCCCTCCAGACACTGTGTTCTTTCATCTTTTCCAGCTTTTCCCATGACAGTTACCTTGACAGGATCCATTCAGCTGAAGTATCATTTTCGCCCATCATTGCATACAAGTATTGACAAGTATTACACACTGATACATGCTACACTATATTCATCTAATGAAGACAGAACTGAATTGCTAATGAACTCTTGGCCAAATGCACTTTTCCCGTTCCCTTTAGAAGTAGTCTTGAAGGCCACAGAAGTGGCCCAGCACTACTGAATTCCTTTTTTCTTTCCCCAACGTAACTAAAACAGCTTTAAACACATTTTAAGAAAAACTTAAGAACTCTCATTTTTCTCAAATAAGCTAACATTGTATAATAAAATGCAAATGTATTTTTTTAATGCTTTGCTGCTTAAAGAATTTCTGCTCTCAAGCAAAATATCAAACCTTCCCAGTGGCAGAAACATTTTTGTATGCTTTCTAATGTTGGTAGTCTAATAAATGCAACAGAGCACTGCTGGAATCCAATTTAGCTCTAACTGGGGTATAAAATAGCGTTTTTTAGAAGAATATATTATTGCCTGCAAGTCAACTGTTTAGCTCCTGGAAATGCCTTGCCAGGAGTGGACTTAGAATACAAAGATAGTCCATGAAATCAAATACTTATAAGGAAGCTGGGAAGTTTGACATGCTTTTCCCTCTGGGTATTTCATTCTGTTTTTCTTGGAAAAAGCCACTTGGTTACCTTCACAAACTTTCTTCTTCCTCTTTGTTCCCCTCCTCTCTACATTACATAACCAAATGAGGAAGCCTACTATTGTAGTACACTCTTCTTTAAAGAAGAGTATTTAGCAAGATTCAAAGAGAAGATATTCAAAAAGATTTCATGCTGTAGTTAAAACTAGATTATTAGGAATTAAGAAAAGTTTGTCTTAGCTAAACATGAACACCAGCCCACTCCTCCCAGACTCAAACATGTCCATAGGCCATTCATGCACAGTCTTAGTTTTGACACTGCTATGCTATGTCATTTGCAACCTGGTTCTCTGATGTACTCTTTCTTCTCTCCATATTCATCTGTAAATCAGAGCAAATAAACCTAAAAGGAGTTCTTCAGGATTTTCCAGGGTTTGATTTTTAAAATTATAGGTGGAACACTCTTAAACAGAGTGGTGACGTCTACTGTATATAGCTGAACTATTTACGTCATCTCAGGTATGAGACTTAGCTGTATTATTTATCTTTTCTACCCAGGACAAGATTGCGTTCTTTCTGCATCACTTCAGCATTTAACAGAGTAGATAAAAAGGAAAACAAAAGGAGCAGAGTAAGAATAGAGCAAAAACGAAGAACAAAAACAGACAAGAAGATGCAATTAGAAAGCATCGATCAGTACACTCCAGACATAAATGCAAAATGTCCATAAAGCCCCTATGCCAAGTGGTGAGTACTGGGTCATTCTACTGATGCATGCAGATGGCAAATTAACTCGTGTATGGCTGACTTCATGGAGAGTCATCTTTTGCATTTTTAATACCTATGCTTTCTCAGCTACTGCTGTTCTGAATTGGTAAGTTCCTCAGTGCAATGTATTGCTTCTCAGGAACATTAAAGCTATTTTTAAAATTGCATCTAGTTTGCTACTAGATGTCAAAGTGAAGTCTTCCTGAATCTTCAACAGTTCAAATTCAGTCTCTATTCCAAATTAACATCTAGCATCATTTTGCAATTACTATATTAGTTAAGGAGGTATTACTACATGTTTACAGGGCTTCAATCTTAGTCTTCAGGTTTGTTTGTTGTTTTTACTTTTAATATTGTTGTGTTGAGTCATTTTGCATTTACACCCGCCAAGCAGCTATCCTCCAATGACAATCACTACTCTAACTACATAAAAACTGTTTCTGATGGACCTTTGATGGTCTTCTGGAAGCCTATCCATAGGCTATGAATTACAACATAGAAGAACTGACAGTTTCCCTTAGTCTCCCCTTTCTTAGCACCAGCCACAAAAGATGTTTTAGAATTATATGGTACAAATCAACATGGGCAGCTGCACAAGTCCTATTACACAAGCACAAGCACTTCAAAACAAAACTGCACTCATTCAGAAAGTTTTCCAAAAGGAGTAAACATTTATTTCAGCTGAACATTAACTGCCTTCTCAATTTCATTATTAAGTACATTACAAAGAGAGAGCCCTAAGACAGACCAAGTGCCCAAGTTAGCTCTGATAAACTTTGTATCAACACAGACAAACCATTCCAAGTAAAATATTTCATCCCTAGGAATATAATTTCAGGCATTTCTGCAGTCTCATGTACAGTTTCTTTCTTAAAAACAAAACAAAAACAACAACAACAAAAACAAGATATTTCAGAACTTCCCTCCTGAGGAGAAACACTGTTACAGTAACAATGCTGGACATGGCCCCAGACAACCTGCTTAAGGAGGAAGTTGGACCAGATGACCCTCAGAGACCTCTTTTGACTTGAACCATTCTGCAAGTGCTACTGACATAAGATTCAGATCTTCCCCCTGGACTGATGACAACTAGCTCCCTTTTCCCCTTCCCAAGATATTCCATATTGCTTCAAGTTACTTGCTCAGTAAAAATGCCTTCTAGTTTGTGGTTTAGATCACGTACATATTACAAAGCAGGAGAAATGCAGCATTCAGGAACTTACACTGCTGTAGCTTCATAAAATAAATTTGTACTATTTACTGGAACATCTTAAAATCAATTAACTCTACTAAATTATTACGAACCCTAAGTTAGTCCAGCCTGTTCATGCTACTCAATTAGAAGTCTAAAGTTGAGCACCTAATCTCCCCACACCCCCAAAAAATACTGCTTCCATTGTAAATACACCCAACCTAAACTAGCTTTCTCAAGAGACACATTCCTGGCAACTTCCTTGTCAGGTAATAAAACACAGCAGCAATACTCCAGAGATGTTCAAAAGTAAAAAAGATATTCTTTTACCAGCATTTGGTCATAAAAGTTATTTTAGCTCTCTTGAACTACTCTACACTGCAAAAGATGCCTGAGGAATTACTGTTGTAGAACCATTTTCTTTTTTAATCATTGATCAAGTGTAAACATAAAGACTAACATGGAAATTAAAAGGCAAGAGTTCACAGATCGTTAGCCATATCAGCCTAAAAAGTGCAGCAGGAAATGAATTATGAAGGAAAAAAAAAACCCAACACAGAAACAACTACTTCCAGATTCAGGCTTACCAGGTGAGGCTTCCCAATAAATTTCCTGAAAGGTGGCTTAATGAACCTCATGGGCTTTTGGAAGCCATCAAGTTGAGAGTTCTGTAATCTTGAAAAACTGCAGCTTTGCTGATTCCTGAGAGAATAATTCCAGAGAGAACAATTAAAATCCAGAACCGTAATATAGCAACACGTTTAATTTTAAATGACCTTACTTTAACATTGGTACCACTTAGAAATGGTAAAATGACAGCTTCCATGCAATCTTAATCTAAGATATTTGATAAATGACTAGTGCTCTGGCTAAAGAGAAGTCCAAGTTACACACAATCATACAGTAAACTCCATTTTCTTATGCAATGATAACAAATGGTGACTTCTGTCTTTTTCAAAGCCTCACTTTTTAAAACAAGTTTCCCCGACTCCCACAGCTACAGCTCCACGCCTGGCTAACACCGCCCTCTGCTGGCTGACACGCTTTTTGTATTTCAGTGGTTTTTTTAGATTGCGCTACCTTCAAAGTCGCACACAACTTCTCATCTCACCAATTCCAAATCAGATAGAAGCTCTGATAAATATCCAGATGCTAGAATATGCTTGTTATCCCTTCAGTTAGTACAACACAGCTCTGACTTCGGGTTTTTTTGGTTTTGTTTGTTACTGAGCACGCTGCTAATTACTGATACATCCACAACCAATAAATAAAACGTACGTGTACCATGAAAAGTAATGACTAGAAGCCAAAATTTATAGTTCCCAGAACTATAATACATATAATAAAAAAGGCCAAAAGAAGGCAGAATGGGCTAGCTGATTAAGCACTGTCAAGATCTCATATGCGAACTGTGAAAAAAAGCCTGCTTTTCAGGAAGGTGCTATCCATCTTCCATTACTGCCCTCAGCCTGCAAATGCATTAGCCATCAGCACTACAAGTGTAAGTGTTCTCCAGCCTCCATCAAGCTCAAGGACAGCCACACTTCATAAAAAAACCTGAGCTTCCCACTGTAAATAGTATATATAGAAGGTAAAGCAAGTTAGTAACCGCAGAAGTAGCAAAAAAAAGCCTTACCAGACAACTGAGCCAAACACATACTGAAGATACAGCATCAAGCAAGTATAAGGCTATAGGCAACAGTCCAATAATTTGGTTTTATTTTTCCTTTGACAACTTTCATCTTTCTATCTAAACAATTTCAAACACAGGATTTTTTTCTCTCTCTTTTTTTTTTTTTTTTTTTTACAGTTTTACTAGTCAATTTTCCTAAATATGCACATATTGTCACGATTTGCCATTATAAACTGTTTAAAATGGACAATTAGCAATATATTCATGTATCTGCAAAACGTGACTACAGTGTAGATGCATTTCATTACACTCTGGCAACTCTTCAACCAACGCTTCTAACACAAATAAGCCATTCGTGTAATCTTAACATCAAAAGCAAAAATAGGATGACTGAGGTTAGCAAACACCTCTGGACCACACATCTTTAGCAGACCTGCTGCAGGAATTCAGGGAAGTAAAAAGCTATTCCAAAGTTTAATGTTAATTAATAAAATTAAAACAAACAAACAAATTCTGTTTGCTGACATTCCACGATACCACAAACACCCCGAGCAGCACAAGAACGCATTCGTTCTGGATCATTATTATGAAACTACAAAATACCAATGAAGTAGAAGTAGAAAAATAACCTCTACCAACATAATACACCATTACATAGTAAGCTTGAAATTTTACTGACACGTCACAACTGAAGTCAAACTTCAAAAGAAAATCACAACAGATTTGAATGCAACTGCAGAAGCATCGGTAAAATTAAATGTACAAGAGAAGAACAAGCTTAGGCAAATGTGATTATTATTAGCTAGTTACCTTGGAGCTGTACCATCTGTATGAAATGCTCTCTCATCTTCATTCTTCAGTCTCTCTTTTCTTCTCCTTTCTATATCATGCCGTAGATCATTTGGATCTTCTAAAACTCTTATGATGTTCTATTTAAGAGGAAGGGTTGGTACCAAGTTAGCTTGTAATAAGGAAATATTGACTTTATTTGTCCTTCAAGGGTTTTATTCAGTAATCTTGTTGACCAACCAAATAGGCACAGGACAGTTGTGCATCAGCCCAAGAATCCGAAGTCCAAAACAATAACAGTAGCTACTCCCTGACAATTACCTTCTCCCACCATCTGTCTCCTTACATGTCTCTGAACAGCAGCGAACAGAAAGCTGGAATTTCAGCTAAATAACTGCTCTACATAAAGCTGACAATAAAAAAAAAAAAATCACAAACTACAGTAAATCTTAAGAAAGTCTACTCTTCTTAATTAAGTTGTACCTCCACATATTAGCACCACAGAAAAAGGAAACCAAATCGCAGTAAGCGTAGTTTGTAAGGGGGAAACAAAATCCCATGCCCCTGGATAAAAGCAGGGATTAGGACTGCGTTCAGTATAGAACTGCATTCTGTACGTTGGGCCAACCTAACATCAGCACAGGAGAAATATTAAGGGTTTTTCCAATCTCAGACAGAAATTAGAATCCATGTCAGTTGCCCACTCAGTATTTACATTAAATAAGAATAAATAGTTCAAGCAGTAGCAATAACCACGCTCCAGTTATTCTAGAACACATCTGCACTCTACTTACCACAGTAATGGAAGTACGTTTTATATCTGTAAATACAGTCACGTGCATTCCTTTTAAAACAGAATTGCTAGTGGTCTTCAAAGCATGTAAGAGTAGCTTTTCAATATAAAGCAGAAAAGTGTTAGTTACACCTATGTAACTTTCACTGAACTATTAAAAAAAAAAATGAATACCTGAGGAGATTCTGATGGGACAGTTCGTTTGTTCTGAAGTTCTGCTAAAGACATGTCAATCCTCCTGAAACAGCAAAACCACACAAGAATAAGCAGCATCAATATAAATCATTATTAACCAACTACAGAATCTTTGCAGATTACGTACAGATAGTTTAGAGTCAGTGAAAAAAAAACAAACAACTATGTAATGTAAAGCCTACTGAAGATTAACTACCTTGATGCAAATAAATTAAGGCAGAAGCACACCAATTACCTGTGAATTTCTGGATCCAAACTTCTTTTAACTTCATTCATATTTGGAATTGGTTTATCCTGGATTTTTGAGAACCGTTCATGCAGAGTTATGTCGGATGATGTAAAATAATTTGCTGTGCAAAGACATTAAATACAAGAATGTTTAAAGTGCACTATTTCAAGTGTGTTGTGGGAAATATTATCTTTCAAAAGATTAACTGCTAAGGACACCATGACAACTTTGAGATTAAATTCAGAACTATTTCCACTTGTAGTTTAATGTTCCCAAACGAGAGATTAGGCCAGCTCAACTCAGACAGCCCTCTTAGTTAGTAAGATTAAGCTGAAGAAAGTTAACTGTTTATCAGTTCCATCATGGCAACTACTAGAAGCAACAAATAAAGTTCTGCACTACATGTGACACAAGTCTAGAAAATCATCTGAAAAATTACAGGAACTATATGTAACTAAAACGTTGTGACTACAACAAAGCTTTATTTTCCCCCCCAACCCTCTTCACTTGTTAAAAAAGCAGTTTATCCTCAAGCACTTCCATGAAATCCCTTCTACGTTCACAGCCTACAGTAATCTCTAAATAAGGAGCAAGACCTTCTAACCAAAGTGCTCCATCCAACCACTTCAGCTCTTCAACCTACATTCTCCTTCAACGAATGACACGAAAACAAATGAAACCTAACACCTGATATTTACAAGGGCAGCATGCCTAACTCATTATTTCTTTTACAGTAATTGTAAACACATAAATACACACATATACCCCAAATACTACAGCCACCTTTAATTTGATGGATAATTGTGATTATTTCCTGAGTAAATTCTCGCGACGGGTCGCTCTCAACACCTCGTGCTACAGATTCCATGTGCTCGAACACCGGATGAAAGTTTTCATTTTTCCTGCCGACAGCAACCAGATCATGTGACATCTGTCTGTCTGCAGTATGACTAGAAGCAGACCTAAAACAAACATTTGGAGATTCTCATTTTCAAAGAATACTTGAAAATTTCAAACAAAGAAGTAGAACAAGACAAAATAAGAAGTTTGTTTTAAAGATAAAAGCCATGCAATTGATTTTTTTTTTTTTAATTAAAAAATAAAAAAACAAAACAAAACAAACCAACCAAACTGTAAGCTGCAAGATGAACAGCTCTAACTATACTTTTGGGAATCCCTGTTTCAGTGACGTGTGATACAAAATTTGTAAGTTTTAAACTTAACACATCTGTCAAGTAAGATAGCTATATGAAGACTTGTATCCTTCTCAGTGTAGCTCTGGGAGGCAGTTATGTGTCTGTTATAAAAAAAACTAACATTTTCAACAGTACACAAATGCTAAAAACTCTGCATCTTTGAAAACTGTATCACTTGAACTCAGTGCAGCATGTTCTCAGTAACAACATGTGAACTTAGGAATGCTTGTAGCATATATTTGTCAGGTTTTACTCATTCTAAAGAGATGAATAAATCAAATGGTAGCATTGCTTTGTTAGAACTATTTTCACAAGGAAGCTGGCATTAAAATTTCTGCTGTTCTTGGTGCAATAAAAGTACCTCTTATTTGGAAACAAGTTGAGAACTCACATATTCCATGTAAAACTTTTAGGACAAAGACTTTGCTGTCCATTCTGCAAAGTGGTAATGCACCTGCCTGATCTGTATTTCAAAAGAAAGTAGAATTTCATATAAAGACTGCACCAGAACCAACCTCCAGCAAGTCCCAGGAGTCAGCTATCTGTCTTCAGTAAATGCCTTTCAGTGAATCCAAACAATCTCCGTTTAGGTATTTATTACAGATGATTTGAATTGCCTAACTTCTCTCTAGGCTTATAAAGAATGTATTCTTCTCAGCTCAGCCATTTTAAGTCATGTGTTTGTTAAATGCCTGAAGTAGGCAGCATGAATACTCTCAGTCATCAGCTTCTCCGAAATTAGCCATTTAGTCTCTGCTAATGTCTTTGTTGTTGTTACAAAGGCAAACCTGCACATCAAGTAAGCTGCAATCAATATAGTAGTTTTTTCAGTCTGTAAATAATTATTACATGCACTGTGCATGACTTTCAAGAATAGCAGCAAGAAACTACTATATATAGAAATCATCCCACAGGCTTCCAAAAAGAAGCGGCAAGAATTAACTTTTTTCCTTGCTGTATCACTTAGGAAGAAAGAATTGTTCCCTTTCCTCAGTCTTTCGTATTAACCCCTTACATGGGGACAGTGAACTTGTCTTCACAACTCTTCACTGTATTACATATTTTCTGAAATATTGGAAAAAAAAACTGGCAGAGATGTTTTGCTTGAGAGAAGTAAAATACCTTTTAAATGAAGACTGAACAGCTTCCAAAAGAGATTACTGCCATTACCCTCACCTTCAGCAGGTAGTCAATTAACCAGAAAAACCTGCAAATATCTATACAAAGCAAGCTGCTTAGTCTTTACAATGTGTTCTTCACTTAGGCTGCCACATTAACCCTTTTTTCCAATTGAGTTGACAACAGGAATGCTGAAGACAACCAGAGGTACTATACACGAGATAGAGACATACTCCATTACTTTTCAGTTCTGAGGCTCCAAAACATTGTTACATCATTTGCTGCAGTACTAAATAATATAACCCAGGGATTTCGTTTTTTGACAGCTTTACTGGACTTCATCTTAAACATCTGAATGTGTACCTGAGATTTATGCAATTTAAAAGTTAGCTAGTTTTCAAAAGAAACGAGGAACTCCTCAGGAAGTCAAAAAAGTCATTATATTCCAGAACAAAGAACAGGATTCAACTTTCCTGGTTTTGTCTGTTTTGAATAAACTTAACACATTTACTCATAATAAGCAACTTTATTGACAGTTTGTACTGGTCTTATCTGCTCTGTTCTTTCCACTTGCTACCAGACTCCCATGAGATTAACTAGGCTTTTTTTGGGCGATTCTTTTTTGGTTGGTTGTTTTTTGTAAACAGCAACAGGCAGCGAGTTTCCAGCCTGCAAGTTAATGCTTTAAACAAAGCAAAATTAAAAAGGTACAACCTTAGTTTGTCCTTGTTACTTCCTAAGGAAACATGGCTTTCCTTTCATATTCATAAACTGAAAGCAGGCTGGAATAAGGAACAGATGAGGGGAAACAAATACCTGTACCTGTTCACCGTTTTCTTCATGTCCACTTTGATTGTGAGATGTTCCCTCCTACAGTTGACATCTGACACTTTCACATCTGAAACAGTATGACTTGAATCATGCTGGCTACTGGAAGAATCTCCTTTTCTCCTGAGTTCCCCTTCTTTCCTTACTCTTTCCTTCTGCTTGTTTTTAAAGGGTCTCAGATCAGCATCCATTTTAGAAGAGTTAACGCAAGCATTGCAGCCCTTCTTTGAACTATATTTAGGAGGGACTTCAACATGCCCTTCTTCAGTCTGTCTCGCTCTTCCACCACTAAAGTAATCTAACTTTTTGCTATTCCAGGCACCCTTAGAAGATCCGTATTTCTGATCTTCCTGCTTCGCATACTTCTGAGCTCTATCATCTGTGAAAGGCTTTTCCCCATCCAGGTGCCTGCGCCGTTTGTGATTGTATTCATAGGCTATCTTTGTGACAGATCCCTCCGAGTACTCCCTTTCAGTCGACCGGTGAGACTGGGCACCCAGATTTCTTTGCTCCTCCTTTTCTTGGTAGGGTGAAAAAGAACGCTCTTGCTTCCACTTGGAATTTCTTGCTACTTCTCCACCGTCATACCTCTCCATTTCTTTAGCCCTTTTAGACGTGTGCCCATATTCTCTGTAATCGTGATCTTCAGGATACCTGTGTTGACATAAAGCAATTTACACTTGCACTAGAGAAGAAAGCGAGAACTTATATGTGAAGAATGTTGGACAGCAGAATGCGTGGCAAGTTAACCCATAATCCCTCACGCCAAGGTACGGATGTGCAGGGGCTCTTAAGAGGGAAATATTATCCTTTCATACTCTAGCCATCAATATGATTTACTTAAAAGACAAATACTTCACTATTACCAGTCGCCCATAATTAAACTACAAAGTGGCAAACGTGTTTCAAGGTGGTTATCTTCAACTATAATGAAAACAGACTTTCACTTGAGGCTTTACACCACAATACCCAGGTTTTAATTATTTTATTCCTATACCTCTTCTGTAAAGAGCTCCTTGACGTAAATTCATCAGAAACTCTTCTGGGTGACTGACCATACTTCTCTTCATGTAATCTCTGGTGCCTCAAGTCATCTTCGTGCCATTTTCTTTCAAATTTACATGAAGCCCCTAACGGTCTGTGAAAAGGTTTAATTCCTTTTTCATTTCCAGTGACTTTGTAGTGTTCAAACGTGTATCTTTCTTCCATTTTGTAATGGTAAAATGACCGACTGTGCTCCTTATATGGTATTTCTGAGTATTTTGGTGGTAACTGACATCTCCTATTGCCTTCAGTTCTTTCCGATGAATGTGTTCTGTAGGGCTTATGGCTGTAAGCATCTTCCATGGGAATTCTTTTCAGGTTTGGTGAAGGTGACCTACGTTCATACATTCTCTGGTGGTTATTTCCATGAGGTGCAAACCTGGAATTGCTTTGTCCATATTTTTCATCATCTGTTCTCCAAGTCATAGGTTTCTTTAGGTCCTTACGAAAGCTTTTATATTCACAGTCATAATTAACATGAGCGTGCCTTTGCCTGTGGTGCTCTGGACTCCTAAATGCTGGAGATAAGGACCTAAGGCAAAGATAAAACTCACTCTGAGTAGTCCCATAAAACTGAATCAACCTCTTAAAAGCATCTATTCCCTAAAGAAGCCCAATTTCAATCAACAGGGAAGAGAAATTCAGAACCAGTCAAGATATTCAGTGTCACTTGTCTAGCTAGAGTACAAGCTTGCTTTCAACTCTACTGAAAGCGTTCACAGGAAAAATACCCACTCAAAATACTGGTAAGTCAATCATTTTCCTCTTTTAGCTTTAGAAAAAAATAAAAAATGCTATAAGTAATTCAATGTATATAAAGTTACCACTACACAGAAAACAACTGTTACACATTTTCACACTTGTCAAGCATTCCCTATCTTTTCCAGGACCAAGAGGAAAAAGAAAAGGCAAAGAGAAAAAAACCATGAACAAAACACACAAATGTAAAAAAGGAAGAAGAAAACCACACAGTTTTCAGATGCTCTTTGCGTGTCAAGATTGAAAAAAAAAAAAAAAAAAAAAAAACAGGGACTGAAAAAATAAAATATTTTAATTAAAAAAAAACACAGGTAGACTTTTTTTCCGGAAAAAAAAAAAAAAAAAAAAAAAATGGTAGTTTGAGAAAGGCTGTTTTTGTCTTTTTGTGCGTGTACATGCATATACACATTTTATACAATTATTGCACCTTCTGCTCTTATAAGTTCAGTAGCACCCTTCTCAGCCTTGAATTGTGACTTACAGTTAGAAAAACAAAAGCAACTTGAGTCTTTTAGCCAAAATCCCATTAAAGAAAAGCAGCACAAGCCACTAGCAAGAAACAGAAAGTAATCCCAGACCAAAACCAGACACAGCATTCACTGTATATTCTCAGAAAATAGCATTAGAAAGGAATTCAAAGTTACTTCCTTTATGCATATATTACAAATATAGTAAAAGTATGTGACATAATCAATTCCTCTGTTTCAGCAAACAAGTTCAAAATCAGACCCTAGATCTTCATAAAACTATGTAAGCTATACAACTACCACCAGTACCTATACTGCCACGCCAAAATTTGTTTGACTGTTTTAATTAGGGCTCACATTTTTATGAGAGCTCAGGCATTTCCCTCTGTTCACTCAAAGGACATTCCTAATCATCAGTACAGTATGAAGCAGGTAGGATATCTCTAAAATTATGCTTGTGTTATTCAATAAACTTCCTTGATTATCCAAGACCAAGAGGCAAAACATAAGCAAGCTACAGACATCAGGTTGAGTTGGAATAAAAATAAGTTCAACTGGCTCAGTACTTGGAGTTTGGTACTTCATGCAATTTCAATTCCCAAAATATTCAAGCCTAACAAGGCTCTGAGAAAGAACGAAAGCTTAATCTTCTCCATTTTTAAAAAAGTTAGTAACAAAATTATGATGTGGAAAAAATGTTACAGAAACTAAGTTTGAAAAACAAATTAGGATTCTTTAAAATGCATCTTTGGCAAAACAAACTACGTCCATTAACTGCAATGTTTGAAGACTTCATTATAAATCTTTCTTCAGAACAACATTCCAGAACACGCAGAGTTAAAGATAAAGCACTTACCTTTGCTTCCATCGTGGTGATCTTGATCTAGATCTTGTCATCTTCTCTCATGTGTTTATATGAAGTTCTTGAAGCTGTAAAAATGATACAATTCACTGGTATGATAAAAGAATTCACTACAGTTTGCAACAGAGGCACATTTTAACCAGGACAGCATCAGATGCATTAAAGTTGAAGTGTGGCATACTTTTTAAATAAGTTTTATTTTCACTACTAGTTCTCATCTTAAAGCAAGTAACTTTTATCCTACTTGCTGACCTTAGAACACAGTTTATTTTCATTGTAAAGGATATAAATATCTGGTTATCCCTCATCTCTCTCTCCCCACATCCTATAATTTAATTCTGCTTTAAGCTATTAATCTCAAGCAATACGCAGGAACAAAAATGCTGTAAATAGTAGGAGGCACTGAATGCTACAGATGACAGACAGGGGACAGTGAGCTAGCTTTAAAATGAAGTTTACAAGTACTTGCTTTCATTGCATCATTTCACATGCTGAGCTTCACATTTGTAATAAACACACCAACGCTTTTACATCAATACAGACCTCCTGTAAGCTTTTACTGCTCCATCCAATGTTAATATTTGTATTGCTACATTTCAACCAAATGAAACTATCTACAAAAGATACATTTCTGTACTTTACTTGCTAATAACCCACTACCTAGACAGATTGCTCTTGAATCCTGGAAGCAGCTTTGGGAATCCCTTCTCATAAAAAGATACAGAAGCATCAGAAAGATCTATGAAGTCTATCCTTCTTGGTGCTCTTCAAGAAAAGGTACGAAACTCTTGGAAAACAAGTAAAGAAAGGACATACAAGCTCACTAGTAATGTGACTGGTAAATAAGAATGGAACAGTTATTCATTATTTAGCAAACACGAGGAGTAAAACAGAGCAAAATTATCAGGTAACTGGGTAGAAGTTGGAATTTGAACCACATACCCAAGCCTACTGCTCCTAATTACCACAAGATGCTGTAAAAGCCAGAAATATAAATAGAGGCAAAAAGAGAACCATCAACAGCTTTGAAATTAATGAACAACCAGCCACTTGAAACTGGATACTAGAAGAACGCGTACAGGTCAGTGTTCTTTTATACTCTTGTTTTTTTACCATACAAACCTTTTCCCGGGTCTACTGCTCCAGAAAAGCCACTATAGACTTTTTGATACTTCAAGGCACTCAGATCTGTATTTTATAACTAAACCTTTTACACCATCAACTGAAATTGAAAGGAAAGAAGGGGGGAAAAAAACAGAACCAAAAAAAGCCAAACCAGCAAGCTTTAAGGCTCACAAAAAACATGCAGGGCCATGCCTACACACGTTCTCCCTAGTCCCACATCATACTACTTGGTCAGATATTACCCCTTGGTATATCTTGCTTCTGTATGATTCTGTCATGGATAAAAACAGCACTATCTTTGAGAACACACAGCATGCCTCCAATACCCACCACCACAGATGGATGCTAGGAAACCACGTATATAATCTGCCACATTTCAGGCTAATTCCAGAGATGTTCACTTCCTAGTCATTAAGTTGGACTGTAATCTAACTCAACTATTATTTGCCAGATGTAGTAACAGCACACTTCTAGATCTCAGAAGTCACACATTCTATGAGAGTATCTGCTCTGCAGTGAGTCTATGAGGCGAGTCTATAAAGCTTTAAGAACTGTTGCTAGGGACAGTGAAGCAAGAAAGAAGTAACCCAAGATGGCACACAGAATTTGTTCCTTGAGCATTCAGACACAAAGCTAAGCATTACCTCCTAGATCTCAAAGACATGCATCTGAGGACTGCATGGCTTCAATTTAGGCCCTATGTTCACTCACAGATTCTACTGGCCAAAGTTAAATAAGGTATTTTAACACCAGTACTCACAGCAAGTATTTTTCAAAAATAAATAATGGTGTGGCTGCAATTATTTCCTACTTCTCACAAGTAAGGACGCACCCTATCAAACCAAACAGCATGTCAGAAACATGAGAAAATTGCTCCTGCAAACATTTCAAGAGATGAATATATCACAAGCTCTGAAGATTCATTACTATTCTCTCTTCTTATAAGCTTAAAGTGACTGCTTCACATGCCATTCAAATTCTTGTTTTCTATCCTCCCTTCAGTTCTGAACTTTATTCTTCATTCTAAAAATAGGTAAAAACTAAAAACTCAAGAGTACCACGAAGCCTCACCAAAATCATCATTTAGATTCTGATGCAATGCCACACAGTAACCAATCTAGAATCTGAACTTCCATACCCAAATATGACTTATTCTTTCCAGACCAGCTAAACAATTGCACTAAAAGCAAAAGAAGGAATGATGGTATTTTCAAGACCTCGCCTTAGGATAAACAGGATTACTGTCATTTCCACGCCCTAGTGGAAAGAAAGCATTCATTTGTTTTAATGCACCTCCTAAAAGTGACCCGGAACTAAGAGATTCACTCTTAGCCAATTTAAAGATGCAACACATAGCATACGAAGGCAGGAAACACACAATGCCAAACAAAATTCCCATTGCAATACCAGAGTCATGAATTCATCTACACAGAATGTCTAAGCACGTTGCTAAACGCAGGTTTAAATCCTCTATCCCAGATCAGCAATACAGTTCCAAATCAAAAGAAAGTCTGCCATAAGGCACTAAGCAGTAAGCCTTTCTACCACAGAATGATTGGAAAGAAGCAGAGGCCTAGCGGTTCCCAAGCGAGCCATCCAGATACCTCCTAAAGATCAGCTCATCTTGAGTACCAGAGACGCCAGGACCTGCTGCACTCTGGATCCTGCATTCCACCTACTTCTCTCATTGTACTTTGTATGACACCGCCACTACTGAAGTGTGTAAAAATGTTTGTAACTAAGAAGTAGTATTACTAGGTGAATCGTGCTCCTCACATTCACTGCATTACAACAATAAGTGACTCATTGTAGGAATTATCAGTAACTGTGTTTAGGTAGTTCTTTTCTTTGCCTTGACTTTTGGAATGGAAATCGGGCAATGTTTCTCTAAGGAGAAACTGCCTTCAGCCTGCTTCCAGCTCTCCTCTGATTCTACACTTTGGAAACCAGAGCTTTCTTGAAGTTTCTAGTAACAACCTGAAAAATGTATCTTGAGAAGAAGTAATTTGGGAACAACCAGAAATTGTTTGGGACACATCAACTATAATACACATTCTTTCAGTAAGACCATTGACTTTTAAGAAGTTGCTTTTCTGAATTAAACTAACCTCCAACTTCTGATTTTCTCCAGCAAGAAACACACACAAAAACACACAAGAGACTACAACCATCCAGCTGAATGGAACCAGAGTTCTCGCCAATGCAAATAGTCCCAATCAGTGGGCCCCAAACAGCTAAAATCTTACAGACAGGACACAGATGGAGTAGAAGTAGTTAACTCTGTAAACAGACCACAAATCATCAACTGCTTTGTGTGTCTTTCAGGGGTACTTTTCGTCATCTACAATACAGATGGTAGGAGAAACCCTAAGCTGTAAACTAAGGACAATTTCAGAGGAGTAAGCGTTCACCACTTAAATTGTCATTTCCCCTGTGGTGAAGGGAGGCATTTCTTATCCCACTGTAAGGACTGCCAGTCTGTCACTGCAACAGCCTCCCAAACATCATACAAAAGGAAGGGCTACGCAAATATTTCCTAAGTTGCATCATACAGCAGTCACAAAGACAGATGTTGACCCTCACTGAAAAAGCCACCTAGTTCACTATCCTTCCACCCTCCTCTAAAAGGAAATGAGCAGCTGCAAGCTTCTCATATGGCTCTCTTATAGGCTGGGATCAACAAGGAACTGCAAGGGACATGTCAGAACATGCCATGTAGTGCTCTAGGGCCTATCAAGAAAGAGAAACCAGAAACTGATTGTCAGCACCAACACAGCCAGACAGAAAAACAATCAAATCCTTAGCTGCAATCCAGACAATTCAGAGACTGTTCTCATTCAACAGAGAATGTTCTTTATCCTCAAACAAGAAGCATAGGACTGGCAACTTTTCTAACAGTTAAGTTAAAATAGCTAAGTCAAAGCTTGTCACGCGTGTGTCCCCAACTATTGCCTGAGCAGGACATAAGCACTGTTTGCTCTTGAAGGAACACACAAGTTCCTTTGACATTACTGCTCAGAAAGGAGTCTCAAACGTGGAGCTGAACCATGACGTACAACTCTGCTTCCTGAAGCATGACTCTGCTTAAGAAAGCTGGCAGGTATACACAAATCTTGCCTCCAACAGAAAATGTCTCAGAAAGAGCATAAGAGCAGACTCATGTCTTCCAGCAAACCAGCTAGAACCTTTCTGAACTGCTGTGAGACTTCACATGACCTTTTAGCTTAGTGCTTCCCAGTCTGGCTTGGACACTACCATCACAAGCAAAGGCTGCCAGCCTCTCATTTTCCCCTCATTTTTCTATTCAACATCTTCAACCTCCAAACCCCAGCTCCCAGTTAGCACCCTGATACAAGGCTAGAAGCCCTGCTGGGGCTAAATGCAGGATGCCACGAGTTGGCCCTCAACCATCTTGCCTCACACTCCTCACTTCAGACCTTCTTCTGTGTCTAGAGCCAGCAGCACAGGGACACAGCAACATGAACTTCCTGGAAGTGGCAGAAAGGGCTCCAACTGACTGATTGCTGTCAGACAGGCATCCAGCGTTGACTGACGGCTCTGCCATCCCTAAGAGTAACTCCTGACACACTCCCTCTAGGCAGAACACATGACAGCTTTACAAGCTGTGAGCTTGACAGCAGCTACTGAATTCAAGGACACACACACTGTTGAGGCAATGAAACCCAGCTGAGGGATTTCTAAACTGTTTCTTTTTACAGGCAACGAAGAGATAACAAACCTATGCAAAAAGACTGTGGAATATGACCCAAGCATCGTCTGCTAAAAAAAGGGAGAGGTCCTGCAAGGCTGGAGAACAGGATGAAGCACAGGCCCAGTAACCACCCTATGGCCAAACTGCCCCTAGCTGTACAGGTCAAGTGAGGCTATAGCTATGCCTCTGGCACTCCACTCACCTCCAACCATCTCTACCCACTTTACCTATGTGCAACACTCTTGCCAAGGGCCTGAGCTACAACCAGAAGTTGTCAAGGAAAGGAGAATGTGGCACCTTTGGCAAAAACGCAGAGCCCATAGAATTGAGTGAAGATTAATATATAAACAATCCCTCACGTTTTGGAGAACTCAAAACAGTTTCCCACATGATCTTGCTTCTCTGCACGATCAGGTGTTTTTCATACCCCTGCCCACATCTTAGTTTGCATACTTTGTAACAGTTTGTTCCCTATTGCTTATCATGGTGAACCATGTATAAAGCATACAAAATCATGACACTGGAAGACAGCCTTTGGATCTCCCCGCAGCTGACCCAAAACCTCCCCAGTACGCATGCTCTCACCCCACACCTCACTGCCCTTCAGTATCTACCTCACAACAGTTGCATTGACAAGACAGGCTGTATAACCCTTCCTACCCTAACTTACTTTGCCCAGAATTTGTGCAACCTTACACATCCCAATTTACCCTTACCTACGCTAACAAAGGCCTCCCCAGCTCAAATACTGATTAGTCATAGGCTAACACATTGGTTGCTTAGAATATATGTGACTGTAGATCGTATCTGCTACAGCTTGCTCAGAATATGTTTAATAAGATGTTTTGGTGCACCCAATCTGTGTCAGTGGAGTGTGACATAGTCACTGTCTTCTCACTGGGCAAAACATACCAGGGAACAGGGTGGGACAAAGACCTAGATTTGAAATCCATCTGCAGTTTCCTCACTGCTCTCCTATCTGATGAGCGCTCTTGTGAAATTAAAGAAACATCCTCCTGGGCTTTTGTTCTTCTCAAAGAATCTTTCACATGTCCAAAGTTACAGCTTGACTTATCTTAGCACCATGTTACCTTAACCAAATTTCCTTGTCCAGTCCATACCACCCTCAAAAGCATCTGTGGCAAAGTGGCTCAGAGAAAGGAATTTTGAGATAGCAGGAACCAGCACCACCAGTCAGCAGTCACACCAAGCATGTTGCACTGCCAAGCCACAACCTTTGCAAAGCCCACTCAGATCCTTCCTCCTGCCAGCTCCCCTCCCAGCTATCATGGCTCCAGCCTCCCATGAACTCAGTCACTGCAGGCTTGAAATATTTTTCTTCTCTCTTTTCGGCTTTTATCCCGCTACAATAATAATGAAGGGTCTGGAGAGCAAAGTGTACATGAGGAGCAGCTGAGGTGCCTGTGTTTGCTCAGCACACAGCAGAGGAGCTGAGGGGAGGCCTGACGGCGGCTGCAGCTCCTCCCAGGGAGCGGAGGGGCAGCGCTGAGCTCTGCTCTGTGTGACAGCGACAGGGAACGGCGTGGAGCTGCGTCAGGGGAGGGCAGCTGGGGGTCAGGGAAAGGGGCTGCACCACAGGGCGGTGGGCGGGGAACGGGATGCACAGGGCTGTGGGCACGGCCACCAGTGCTGGAGTTCAACACTCTCAGACACTGGGTTTGATTTTGGGTGGTGCTGCGTGGAGCCAGGGGTTGGACTCTATGATCCTTATAGACCTCTTTCAACTTGAGATGTTCTGAGATTCCCCTTACACTCACAGCAGGATGAAGACGTACTGCAGGAAGTACAGTCCTACCTTTAGTATATACTTCTCACTGATACACCTGTTTAGTGTATGTAATTCCTTGAGGTATTCGGAAAGTATTTCCTTGCCCAGTGAGTTTGATCAAAAGAATAAAAATACCTGAGCTGATCTACTGAGGAATGTAACTTAAGCTCAACATGCTCTCATTTAAAACTAACCCATTTAATGGCACTAATTAGCAGGCAATGCCTTACCTTTGTAGAAAAACAGATTACAATGTGAACTTGGAAGAGACTGACCAAAGTAAGCCTGCATCACATTTTTTTGACATAAATTACTTATGTCAGTCTCAAAAGAATCAGGATCAGCAGGACATAATAAGTGACTGTCCTCTTCTACTTTGCTCTCATAGGACCCTACCCAGAGTACCGTGTTCAGCTCTGTGGTCCCAGTACCAGGAGAACCTGGAGCTCTTGGAGCAGGTCCAGAGAAGCACTGCTCCTAAGGAGACAAGCTGAGCTTATACAGCCTGGAAAAGAGAAATCTCTGGGGAGACTTCATCGCGGCCTTCCAGTACCTAGAGGGGCCTACAGGAAAAATGGGGACTGACTCCCCATCAGGGAGCACAGTGATAGGACAAAGGATGATAGCTTTAAAATAAAAGGAAGCAAGTTTAGATTAGATGTGACAAGGAAATCCTTGACTCAGAGGGCAGCAAGGTGCTGGCACAGCTGCCCAGAGAAGCTGTGGTGTCCCATCCCTGGAAGCACTCGAGACCAGGTTGGATGGGGCCCTGGGCAGCTGAGTTGGTGGGGGGCAGCCCTGCCCACGGCAGGCAGCTGGAATGTATTGACTAGCCTTTTCTATAACACACTGAATGAAAGGTCTTTAACATACATCTATTACAGAGCCTTAAATTTCACCGTAATATCCCCAGCCAGTTCTCCTTACTGAGTCCTAAGGAGATGTCAGAAGCATGTAAAAATTAATGCTTTCATTGTCTTAATATTTAAGCCTAAGAAAAACAAAACAGAAAAACCACACAGCTTCCTGCCTATTGAATGCCATCCAACAGGCCTCAACTGTAGTAACAGAGATGTCTGCTGTTTAATCTTACGTCACAAAAGCAGAAAGTGAAAGAAATGCCTTATTTACTCAAAAGCCTTGTAGAATCAGCAACATCACACACAGGTGCTGCTGCCAAGAACCTGGACAACCAGAGCTGTGCTCACCGGTGAGACCAGCCCTTCTGGAAGGCTCCTGGGATGTTTCCTCCTTCCCTGCAGAGCCCACTTCCACTCAGGACAGAAAGAGAACCCAGCCTGTGTTGTCTCCCAACAGGTGAACGCCCACAAGGCCCATCTCATTACGCCATAGGTGGAGGGAAAGTTGGTGCGAGAGCTCTTACAAAAGTCCTGGCAGAAATACCAGTTATTTTGCTAGCAGCAGATGTGGAGGAGTGGAACACACGGGCACTCGCTAAGACAGCTGTTTATCAGTACAATAGGGTGTGCCACTAAAGGAGATTAATTAATTCCGCTCACCTCATCAACACCAACATTAAATTAATACCTAAAAAAAAAATCCTAGCAGTCCTACAGAGTGAAAAGTTGAAAACGAGGGGGAAAATCTTAGTCACTGCATCCTCCATCCCCCTGTGCCCAGCCCCAGATCTGAGACTGCCACAACCCATCTTCTACCACCAGTGCCCTTCCACACCTCTGCCCTCCTCCTCCTCCCCCTGTGCGATTCCTGGAGCCTCTCACACTTGGCCAAACTTTGATGACAGGCTCTGTCTCTCCTCGAGGCCACAAACACGCCAGGTAAGCAGGTAAGGAGAATCTCCCTGCAATCCGAGCAGCCTTTGTTTTAAACCCTTGGGGACCTAAGCTACATTTAGAAGTGACTCAGGACAGCGGTGAGCAATGCAGACACCGTTACCGCCGCTGTTGCTCCCCTCCAACCTACCGGTATGCTGCAGCTTCAGCTGAGGATGAATAACCACGGAACGCAGCACAGCATCGGTCACACCGCTATCAGTTCACTTTCCTTCGGCCCAACCCGAGCTCCGGGGTGCAGGCGCTCGGCCCGGGGACGTTGCCGTGCATCACACGCGGTTATGCAGGCAAACACACGGGGACGGGGGCAGGCACCGTGCGGGCCGCGCAGCCGCCAGCGCAGCGATGCCCGCTGACCTCTCGTCCCCTTCACACCGCGCCGCCGCTACCGGACGGACGGACACCAACGCTTCTCCCCCTCGCGGCCGCCCCGAGGCTGGGCCGTCCCGCGGAACCGCCGCGGTTTTGTCAACCCCCCTGGCGCGGGCCGGGCCCGATAGTGGCACTGACACCGCACAGCGCCCGGCCCGGCCCTCGCCACCCCGCCGGGCCTGCCCAGGCCCCGCCGCACTCACCGCCCGCACAGCCGCCTCCAGAGCCGGAGCCGGAGCCGCCGCCGCCGCCGCCTCGGCCTCCTGCCGCCGCTCCTCCGGCCGCCGCCGCCGCCGCCGCTCCGCCCCGAGCAGGTGCCCGGCGAGGAAGCGGGGCGGGTCCCGGCGGCAGCGCCGGCCGCAGCTGCTCCCCACGGGCGCGGCGGAGAGAAAGGGCGGGCGGCCCGGAAGGGGAGGGACGGGAGGGATGGGGCGGGCGGTGCTCCGCCTCGTTCTCCTCCCCCTCCTCCTCTTGCGGCCGCTCCGCTGATCGATTTGCCGTGGGGCACGGCTCTGGTGCCAGGAAGCTCACCGTGGCCTCACAGGCCCCGGGCTCCGTGACGGAGTTCGTGGAGCCATATTGGCTCCTGTGGTGGGGCCGCACGACCCCGTTCTGATGAAACCTAGATGCACAAGCAGGGAGGTGTCACGGCCATGGCTTGCTTGTTGCTTACTGCAAGGCTCGATCCAGATGCATCCCACGCCTACAGAATTATAGAATTGCTCAGGTTGGAAAAGACTTTAGTCACAGAATGGCCAGGGTTGGAAGGGACTTCAAGGATCATGAATCTCCAACCCCCTGCCACATGCAGGGCCGCCAACCTCCCCATTTAATACTAAACCAGGCTGCCCAGAGCCCCATCCACCTGGCCTTGAACACCTCCAGGGACGGGGTACCCACAACCTCTCTGGGCAGCCTGTTCCAGCACCTCACCACTTTCTCTGTAAAGAACTTCCCCCTGACATCCAACCTAAATCTTCCCTCCCTCAACTTAAAACCACTTCTCCTTGTCCTGCTGTCATCTACCCTTTCGAAGAGTTGATTCCCCTCCTAGTTGTAAGCTCCCTTTAGGTATGGACCTTAAAGATCATCGAGTCCCACCGCAACGTAACCATACTATCCTAACTTACAACCTTCACTTCTCTCTGCTTCTTGCAGTGCCCAAGTGCATGTCCAGCTCTCTGCTTCTCCAGAGATGCAGTCAAGCCCAGGAAGACAAGCACTTTCCTTCCTGGGCTGTCAGGATACACCCCTTGTGTTGGTCACCGGCTGGCCAAACAGGTTTGATGTTGAAGGGAGTGCTTCCTTCAGGAGCCAAACGCATTGGTGCACACATTGGCATACAAGGAAGCCTTTCAAAATGGAATAACTTCTGTGACTGGAAAGCACAAAAATGGATTTAAGACAGTGCAAAACAACATGTAAAACGAGATAGCAACTTTATCTACTTTATGCTGTTCAGCATCTGGGGCTGTTGGTTGAAGGCTGTGAGTACCATTGAGATCAGGTACAGGCACACACATTAGCCTCATTCTAAGCACAGGGTTGCTGTTGGTTTTTTTGTTTTCACACGAGCTGCAGGAAGGTGAGTGATACCTGATACAGCCTCATTACCACCGCACAGGCAGGTGACATCTGATCTGCTGCAGAGCTCGCCAAAACCAAGTCAGCTTGTCAACATTTTTAAAAATGAAACAAGGCCAGAGTCATGTCATGGAGTCTGTCTTATGTCCTCCTGACATTTCTGATCCAGCTCAGCCAAGGTACCATGTTTAACGTCAAACCACAGCCCAGCAGTGTGAAGTTAGATGTTTGCCTTCCCTAGGTAAAGACATTACTTCCTCTCCATAAGCTCCTGATTAGATGTAGCTGAGAGAAGTGGTCCCAATTCCCTCATGTTCCCAGTGCGGACTGCTGACTTTCACAATCCATTAACTTTTGGAATCTGGCTGATATCTTCCTGCCAGCCCCTTACAGGGCCAGAACCTTCAGCAGACATCTTCACCTTGGCAGAATTACTGCTCTTGGGACTGAGGGATCCCTTCACAGCTTCAGTCCTTTATACACCCACTCAAACACAAGGATAGGGGAAGACCTGCTGGAGAGGAGCTCTGTGGAGAAGGACCTGGGGGTCGTGATGGACAGCAGGTTGGCCATGAGACAGAGGTGTGCCCTTGTGGCCAAGAAATCCAGTGGGATCCTGGGATGCATTAAAAATAGCACGGCCAGCAGGTTGAGGGAGGTGATCCTCCCATCTACTCTGCCCTGGTGAGGCCACATTTAGACCTACTGTGTCTCCCTAATTAAAAAAGACAGAGATCTCCTGAGAGTCCAGAGGGTCACAAAGATGATTAAGAGCCTGGAGTATCTCTCGTATGAGGAAAGACTGAGTAACCTGGGACTGTTCAGCCTGGGGAAAAGAAGGCTGAGAGGGGATCTGACAAATGTTTCTAAATATCTCAAGGGAGGCGTGAGAGGCAAATGGAGAAGGCCAGGCTCTTCTCAGTGCTGTGTAGTGATTGGGCAAGGAGTAATGGCCCAAAACTTGAACATAGGAAGTTCCATATTAGCATGTGGAAGAACTTCTTTACAGCAAGGATGATGAAGCACTGGAACAGGTTGCACAGAGAGGCTGTGGAGTCTCCTTCTATGGAGATATTCAAGACCTGTCTGGACACCCACCTGCTTTAGCAGGGGAATGGACTCTATCTCTTGAGGTCCCTTCTAACCCTTGTGATTCTGTGCAAATCACACACTATTCTCATACAAAATAATTTCCTGTATCTTCACCAAAAAAAGCTTGGAAAATCTAATATGAAAGGCATATAGAACTCTTTTTAAAACTAGTAGCCTTCCCAATTAAAAGGGATTGCAGAAGACTTACTGAACCATTTGATACAGAAGTACTGTCACAAGCCGTTAAAACCAACGCCTCCTGCTTCTTTGCCTGTTGGTATTGTTAATAGGATCTCAGGGTGGGTCTTTCCCTTTCCCTGACCCCTAGCTGCCGTTCCCTCGGGCCCTGTCGCTGTCACACAGAGCGGAGCTCAGCGCTGCCCCTCCGCTCCCTGTGAGGAGCTGCAGCCACCGTCAGGCCGCCCCTCAGCTCCTCTGCTCTGCGCTGAGCAAACACAGGGGCCTCAGCCACTCCTCATGCATCCTGTCCTCCAGACCCTTCAACATCTTTGTAGCCATTCTTTGGACACTAATAGATTTATGTCCTCCTTATCTTGTGATGTCCAAAACTGCATACAGTGCTCAAGGTGAGGCTGAACCAGCCAGAGAAATTGAGACTGGAGAAAGTGAGACCAGGAAAACGGGATTAAGATAAAAGGATTTGGTCTTATTCCTAGCTGCAGCTGGTGCAGTGGTTTGCCTGTTTCCTATGAGTAGGGAGGCAATTACTGCCCTGAAACTTACAAGTAAGCAGATGCCTCACTTGAAGCAACAGTGGTTTGAAGGAATAAGTATAGCCAGCCCACCTCTGTGTGCACGTGATAAACTTACATGTCACACACACTAACTGACACTTCACATTTTGTTCAGTTCTGCTCAGATGCTCTGGAGTCAACATGCACTTATCCTGGTCAGTAACATCAGGTGTATCCACCAGGGTCTCTCTGCTGTGACCAGGTAGTCTAAGAAAACATGAAGTTAAACAAACATTACAAATTAAGTTAATACTAAAACTAGTGCCTGTCAGTAGTCCCCCAGCATCATTATTCTCCATCTCTGAAGTGTGAAGACCATGCTATTGCACAAGGCTTGAGAATTACTTCTTATTAAGACTAATTATTTTAATCTATTTTCATGTTTTTTTTTTTTTTTTTTTCTAATTATGTATCATTAGAATAGAAAATAGCTTTCATATCCCTTTAATGTTTAATTTAGTAAACATTCCCTTTGGAAACAGGATGGCTATGGTTTGCATGCTAAATACTTGGAAATTATGGATGGAAGCTAGAATTCAGACAGAAACTGATAGGAGATAGCAGATGGATCTTATCTATCTTTCAAGCAAGCATTTTGTTTTCTACATCAAACATTACTATTGGAGCTAGGCTATACTGAACCATGTTAAGTTACTTTAAAAATAAAAGGAAATGAAAGTTCCTTGATCCCTGATCCTTGATCCTTGAACAAGGCCATATCCAGAAGCATGGACTTTCTGGTTTTGCCAGGCTCACCACTACTTCTGCATACCTTCTCCACCAAGGTGGACTACGTAGATGAAATTAGAAGCTCTTCGCAGGGAGTGGGTCAGCATGGTTACCACACACAACTAATTGTGTGTCTAGACTGAGCCTGCAGATGGTAGTATCTGAAGGAGAAAGCAAATCAGAGTGGTGAGAGCAGCTCATTGCTGACATCTAGGACGAGAGGCTAGGACTTCAAGTTGTACCTGGGGAGGTTCAGATTGGATAGCAGGAAAAATATCTTCTCAAAAAGAGTGGTGAGGCACAGGCTGCCCAGGGAGAGGGTGGTGTCACTAGAGGTGTTCAAGAACCGTGTGGATGTGGCACTGAGGGACCTGGTTAGTGGGCATGGTGTGATGGTCTGGGGGTTGGACTGGATCATCACAGTGGTCTTTTCCAACCTTAATGATTCTGTGGCAGGCAGAGCCATCACAAGGAACTGCTGTCTAAGGGTAATGATAGTTTTATCAGCCACTCTCTCAGTTCCTCATAGGGAGATGTTTCATTTGTACTTCACTAGTTTATTACGCTTGCTGATAAGGCTTGTGTGGCTTCATTAACTTTGATCTCTGCTTTTAGAGGAGTTTCACATTCGCATTTGCTTTTTCACTTCTCATCCACTCCTATCCCTTAGCACAACCATTCCCTTTTTTCTTGCACCGTATCAAAATGTTTTTGCCAAACCACAAATCACATCTGCTGTCTTGAAACAGGAATGAGCTGCCTAAGTCTTTGCAGACATATAACACAGCTTCTGCTTTTAATACAAAAAGAAAGTATTTCTGTCACTCAGTAGAACACAATTAGCCAAACCTCTGAGCCCCCAGTGAAGCAGTGTCAGCTGTTTCTCATTATAAAACCGCGAGACACCCAGTGCTTAGATCAACTCCTGAGGTTACTTGTCAAAATAACTTTAAATCTGAAACACCTCATCCAGACAAGGGAGAATGGTAAACCATAATAAAAAAAGAAGTCCTCTCTGTTGAACAGCATTCTGCAGAACAGCGCTATTTTCTCAGTCAAGGATCGGAGCAACAGATAACAGCTCCCTCT